GGTCGGGGCACAATTTGTGACGGTATCCATTGTTATGTGGGTTCCGTAAAAATGAACAGCTCTTTCCTAGCTGCATGTGAATTCCAATTTATACATGTTGCAAGGCTGACTGCAGAGGGGTGTGTTATTTTTACAGGGTTAATGACCTATTCTACAGGTGGTAAAAGTTACCCTTGTAACAAGGACACCGTCACAAAATTGTGCCCCAACCTCATGGAATGACCGGTATACAATGTACCAATTCTTATCCGATGTTGACTCATGTAAAGACTACAGGTGATACTGAATGCGCATAATTTTGTTGGGGTTTTATATAAAGACCGTTGTTGGCCTTGATCTGAAATTCTTAATTGAATGGTTGGAGTGTGACTGTTTTACCATTACTTAGTACATGCATAACATGGTTTTTATGTCCGGCCTTTGAAACTTGAGTGCCCAATCGAATTGAAACTCCGAAATTCCAAGTTGCTGAAATTGCCACTTGTAGTTGTACTTCACAGGTGTACCTCACAAAATGGGTTGTGTAATCGATGGCCAGATACCTCTGTCTTTACATACACCAACATGTACATGTACCGGTAGTTGGTTTGAATCAAAATATTAAGGTTCTACATGTGTTTTTATTCCAAAACACAGTCAATGCAGTGCACCTCATTAACCAGGGATGAGATTATCAGTTTTGAAAAATACCTGAAACGGGGTATAAAAGCCTGAAAGGTGCATTTCTTCCTATACCGATAATGCTTTCCATCAGAACCAAAATGTCTCAATTCAGGCAAAAGTCTGGAAACTCTCATGCCTGATTAACCCTAACCATCCTCAATCCTTCCAAATCCTCCTGGCAGTTTTGGAGGATTTTGGAGGATTTTTTGAGGCTGCGTGGCAAAATTGCATTGCTGGTTGCAAAGGATGTCAAGGTTTTGGGGGTTAGACCTTGTGCTGTTCAGTCATACATAAATTCATGCCCACCAATATGTGAAATCCTCCATACTGCTCCAGGATTCCATTCACACTGCCTCAACATAATGGGAGGAATTGCTGCAGGATTTCAAAGGATTGAGGCAGTGAACACCCCTCCAAAGAACTTATATTCAAGAAATATCGGTGGACTTTTGAGGAATGTATCCAATTTTTTCGTGTTGGCTGTTGGAGGATTTTGAAAGATTGAGGGTACCAGTATATGGCTTATTCCAGAAATTAAGGATCCAAAAGTGTGACATATTCGTGTCCCTGTTGTGTCTGACCTGTGTTATTTGACATGGAAGTATCCCCGGAATTGTTTTCAAACTGTTACCATTTGTTTGGCAAGTAATTTGCATGAATTCATCACTCTTGAAAATTAGCAAATGTGTTCTGAACTTACATATACAAAATCATATGTCACACGTAACAGAGACGTGAAAAAAAAAGAACCCCTAATTTCTGGAACTACCCATATCCTAGCCAAAAGGACCGAGGCAGTTAGGGTTAACAATTAATCCCAAATAATCCTTCTTGAGGAGCATGTACATGTACGTGTCCATGTACATGTATTAACTCCAATTGGCAGATTGATTTCAAATCTTTGTTTCTCAAGTTGCTTGCTGCACTCCGCTCAACTGCAATCTGAAAATCTAAATATTGGTGCATACCTACCAGTACGAAAGGGTCGACAAACTTCTCGCATTGTGTTTGGCCAACGCATTGCAAACTCTTGGTGGCGCACTTTTGTGAATCGCCTGTATTATTTCCACAACCGTTGTTTTTCGTGTAATTTCCACACCCATTTGTTTACTTTCCTGTTTACCTCTGACGTTTTTCATCAGACTTAAAAGGTGGCTGCCATCAATTTGTTTTAATACAAACCTTCAAAATGCACATTTGTGTCTCAGTTCATCTGGTTTCCAACTTTTATTTTGCTTTTTCAAAAAGTTCTCCAGTATTTTACTGCCTTCTTGGTTTTGATGCTAATGAGTATTTCCATATTCATATTAAAACAAAACTGTGATGTCATCCCGGAGGAAGGCCTAAATGTTTCATTAGTTTGCACACAAAAAAGTCCTACGTTTTTATACATGTTGCTGCAGAAAGATCGCAGCTACACTTTAACACATGTGAGTCAATTCCATTATACTCTTTTCCACAGACGTTGCACTGTTAACGTGTTGTACATCTACTTTCTAGCTGAATTTTGGAAGGACCCCCCGTATTGATACAATCTTGTCCTCTTCTATCCAGTCTCCATAAAGTAACTACATGGCTTGCAATTTTATTTTGGGCATGCCTCAAGATGTACCTAATAACTGAACCAATCGTTCACTCTGGTTGAATACCACACATACATGTACACGTACATGTACTGTCAAATCTTTTGAAGAGGAGTGCATAGTTTATGTCTTTAAGCCTCAGTGATGAGCCACTGTATTATTCATTCCATACAATGAAGCGTTTTGCGCCAGGGTATTTTCGCCAGAGTCTTTGTCCACCACCTGTTGTTACCAACAAATTAATTACTTAATAATGATACATGGTGCGTTAATCCTCCTTGCATTGGAGTGCACCCCGGGTTGCCATGGCAACTGGAAATATATTTTCAAAGCAGTGATGCAGTCATTTTTGTTCAAGGCTGAAGCTGAAGCACGAACCTTGGTGTTTCCAGCAAGTGGATCTGTTCGTGTATGAAGATTCGTACCCCACAAGTCTGTGCAAATGTGTATAAATGAGGATAGAAATTGCTCTTTTACATTGTAGCAAAAATTGTGATTTTTTTTTTCCAAGATAAAATTTATGATTGTGTGAACAGTATCGAAGGATTCATTGTGGGAATTAAACGTTTGTTGAAACTGAAACCAGATAATAAATTTGTACAGACATTTACCTACATGTACATGTAAACAATGTACATGTACATGTAGAGTACTTGTACATGGACATACCTGAAATGAGATTTCAACAGTACTAATACATATGGGTCTGTCCACAGTACTGGTAAAAGATGCATTTGTGTGACACTCCGTACAAATTTCCAACTGTGAAATTTTGTCATTACTTTTTGCCTATGTCCTCACTGTTGCAGATCGTTATTACAGAAAGGTCAAGATAAATTGAGCAGTATTGAAGAATTTAAGGAAGTTTATTCTGGAAGCTGTAATGTTTGTCACATGGACGGGCACATTTTTTTCTTAAATATGACAATTCAATGTATCATTAATTACATGTACCTGCAGGTGTATTAACCCTAACAGTCCTCAGTCCTCTAACAGGTGAAGGATTGAGGACTGTTAGGGTTAGATTTTCTTTTTAGTTTACTTTTAGAAATGTTCATTATCTCAGAAAAACAGTTCCAGCGTACAGTATTTAACAGTGAAATTGATTTCATGAATACAAGGTAACGTTTGACACTGGACAGACATCATGTTTGTCACATGCCGGTAACCTGTCACATGGACAGACATTTTTTCTGGTGTTTGAATTAGAGTATGAAAAGAGAATTGTTCACAAGCCAAACTTGTTTGTTTTCAGTTTTCAAAATCATTATTGTTAAAAAGAATATTAGACTTCAGCTTCAATTAGCACTATGTAAGATTTTCTCAATGAGTGACATTTGTTACATGGACAGATGTAACGTTTGTCACATACATGTACATACAGGTATTATAATCTGGAGACAGACAGCCTTCTCACTTTCTTTTCAACAAAACAGACCAACTTTTTCAATGGATTGTTCATTATTTTATTTACTTGTAATTTGGTTTTGTAATAAATGTACATGTATATACGTACATGTACTTATAACTTGTGACAAACATTGCAAAATAGTGAACAGATATTTGCATTTCCTAAAATCAAATCTTAAATTTTGTTTCTGATGGAAAAAAAAGCACAAACATGATATTGAGTATTAATATCCAAACTTTTCTCAGGAACATCTGTATTTTTGTTGGAGTTCCATGTACCTGCAGGCCTATCTGCTCAAGGAATGGCAAAATAAGCCTGTTTCATGTTTGTCACTCTGTGGACAGACACTAGGACGTAGTAGGCTTACATGTATGTTAAATAAAATTCCTGTTCGATATTACTCAAGTGAACAAATAAAAAGCCCTAGATTTCGACACATTTCTCAAATGTTATACCAGCAGTACCCATATTTCAACAGATGAATTGTTTTTCTCCCTGATAGTGGTATTTTTAGATAACCTGAAAACCATGAGTTGACGCAGTTACCGATATGTACATGTCCCATTAGAATCCCTAATATAAGCTGGACATTTTCATCAAATTCCTATCTTACCAAGAACCAAATCCTCTTCAACTGTGTAAATTATATCTCTACAATCATTAGTAAAATTGTTCATTTCTTGACTCTCAACTGTGTTTAATTTTGGTTGGTTGTGTGCAGATCTACGCTGTACAGTGTATGTACATGTATGCGTCAGTGTGGACAGACCCAGGTAGTAGCACATGTGTGCTACTTTAAGAGGAATTAGATATTAATTCTGGCTATTTGTTGAAGAAGCCTCACTAAATAGAAGAACGATTTTTGATTTGGTTCAGCCTCAGGTATAGAGGTACCGTAACAAGTGCACATGCATTCAAGTTTGGTCTTTCAAAAACCTTTCTTTGTGTACATCGCACAAATGTTGAAATATACTTGTAATTTCTGCATACAAAAACTACTGCAGAAATATTTTGAAGTTGAATCGGTTACAGTACTTTTTCTGAGCTGGAGTTTTCAGTGTGGGATGTCAGATTGCAAAGCTTGTGCAAGGGTACAGTTTAATTTGATCGGGCAAATCACTTTGAAAAATAATTTCACAAGGTGCCGTACTCAAGAGGCGTGTCTCTGGTGGGCGTGTCTCTGGTGGGCGTGTCTCTGGTGGGCATGTCTCTGGTGGGCGTGTCTCTGGTGGGCGTGTCTCTGGTGGGTGTGTCTCTGGTGGGCAGGTCTCTGGCGGGCATGTCTCTTCTCTTCTCTGCTATCCTGTCTACATGTACCTTCTGTCTTTCTCCTCTCACTGTAGGACGGACGTTCAGCAATCCATTATGCTGCTGCGTCTGCCAAGGATGAGATCACGAAGCTTCTTATCTCAAAGAGGGCCGATACGACACTCGTAGGCGGGGTAAGCTAAACTGAAAGTTGAGAGACGTTCAGGGACACCAAAAGATGGCAATCTTTGTAGACATTTGAATATGTCTAATATTTTTTAAATCCTGATCATCATCTAAAACACTTGTTATAAATCAATCCCCCCCAATGTGGTGCATATGCTGTCCTTTTGAACAGTTGTCGCCTGTGTGATTTATAATCTCCATTGTTTTAAAAAGACTTTCTTTTCTTGGTACCACTTTTGGTGTCATTTTGTGTGCCTCTGGTAGTCTAGAGATGTACTTCCATAAACACGAGCACTTAACACTGAGGGAAAAAATGGACGGCACATTTCACTGCACAATGCTATCAGCATTTCTTTCAAAATCAAATCGTAACGTTAGCAAAATGCACATTTTTGTATTTCATTCACACGTAGACTTGGTGATCAGATTTTTCTGAAACTCCGCATGCATGTGAAGAGGCTTACGATAAGCCTATCTGTGAAATTTTGGATCAGTTCCACATAGGTTTTTTTTGGTTATGTTCATTTAAAGTTCCAAGCGTCATCCCTGTCTCCCGACCACCCAACCCCAGCTCTTTTATCATGAAGAAGCTAACTCTTCCCATTTCCCCCTTACTTTGCAATAGCCTGCGAGTCAGCTGGCCCTCCACATGGCGGCTTCACGGACTAGCGGTGGCCTGCTGCAAGTCCAGCAGCTACTGAAGACGTCGGGGAAGGATTCCAGGCTAGCCAAAGATGCGGTAAGCCTCTTGATTAGTAGAGCTTCCACAAGGGCAGTGGGCAGGAAGTTATCGAACATGTTCCAACTCAGTAGTCTGCAGCTTGTAATCCGAACTGAATGGAGAAGGGCTCTGCATCTGCCTCAGCCAATCGAGCCTTGCTCTTTTCTCTTTTCTTAATCTGTGATTGGTCAATGTCTGGGGCTTTATCCAAAACTTCACAGTCAGTTTCAAACCTCCGCTGTTGGAACTGAATTCAAGCCGTAGGCCTTATATTGAATAATCATAGCGATATATTATTAGCAGTGCCTCACATTGTCAACAAATCACAAAGCTCCCCGTAGTTGGGTAAGCGTACCTTGAAAGAGAAAGAAAATGATTAAATGTTAGGCCTTGTGTGGTTTTTATGGCAGGAGATGATGCCGTATTGAACTAGCATCCCAACTTAAGTGATTGACTGAAGGGTCTTAGTGATGAGTTGTTCTCCCCAAATTTTTTTGTTCAACTTCATATGTATACAAACTTGTATGAAAACTACTTGAGATCTTGTGTTGCGTGTATTGAAAACTACGCTTTTAACCTTAAAACAGCCGGGAGGGAAATATTCGAATAAACAACAATGCATCACCAAAGAGAAGCAAATTTTCTCCGTCAAAGTCTGAAAAAGTCCAGCATTGTTTTCGTGCACGAAGAAACTCAGCACTGAAGTTGTCTGTCCGGAATTACATCACAAGTTTGCTCTTTACTCGTGCCTGTGAAAATCTCCCCAAAATCAAACCAGTACAGAAATACTCTTTAACAAGCAAAACAAAACAAAAAATGGAAACAAGGTTAATCAAAACATTTTAAGATTTGTATAGAATAGAACTCATTGTACATGTATAGACCCTTTAAATCCACAAAACTGACGGCCTGATGGACGCAAAAGGAGATTCAGAAACAGTGGCCGTAGAAGCTGATGAGATTGTGCCGTTCTACCCATTCACCTGTTCATCTCTCCATCCCCTACCCTTCGCTTCACATTCGGCCACCAGCTTCCCCTATTATGACTGGCCACACTTCCAGTAGACTCATTTAATACATCGGCCGCCATACTGCCAATTAAAATGGGATTATTTTTCTATGCTTCTGTGTATTGGTTTTGACATGTACTGTACGTATTTTGTATCTATGTATATTTTTCTATCAAACTGCATGTACATTGTACATGTACTTCATTATGTACATTTATGATGATGGTCTGTCCTGCCCAAAGTATTTTTGTTATTAAAAAAAAAAAAAAAGCTGGATTAAATCCTCAATTACGCCCGAAGCAATTTGTCGGGTAATGCCGCAGAATATAACTACGTGTAAGCCCCCCAAAAAGTCACAGCCAGTTCATAAAAAATTCATACATATGCAGCTCTTCATTAATTATCTCTTAATGAGAGCAGAAACATAACTGTCTGGTGTGGGTGAGAGCCCGTTGACTTGCTTGTGATGTCTGGAGCGGTGCGGCACGGAAATTGTGCGGGGGCAATGGCGAAGAAAGTATGTGGTACTGGGAACAGTATGTTTTTGCAGTGTTGACGATATCAAGAACTTTAGGGAAGTTAGCTACAGTACATGTATTGCAGTGATTTGCATTTTCACAAGTACCAGTTGTTTCATTTGGGGTTTTTTTTTTTGTTTGTTTGTTGGTATTTTTCCAGAAATTATCCGCACAGTGCCGCGGATGATTCTGGAGATGAACAAAGAAATTGACTGGAAGGGGTTTGAACCTGTGACCTCTGGAGCACCACAGTGATTCATATTCCTTTCCAAACAAATTCTTCGTTTATAAGAGCCGCTTTGTGTGTGATCAGTTGACAGTGGTTTTTGTCTCCCTGTAATGATGTTTGTTTGGTAGGGACACACTCTCTGCGTCTACAGGACGAGGCCGTTACTGTGTCAAGGGGACAGTTGCTTCTGTCAGGAATTTCGAGACCCAGTTGTTGGGACTAAAACCTGTCCCCATAAGGTTTTGGGTCCCCACAACATCTAATGTGTGGTCACCACAACTATGGTGCCGGAACTACATGTACGTTCACGCGCGCTCGATGCGGGCAGTTCTGAACGTGTGTGACCAACTTCTGTTGGATTCATTCAATTTCATGTGTAGTCGTCGGGTGCCCAGTTGAATATTCCCCCAACCTCTCTCGCTTTACCGTCGAGGGAGCCCTTCTGAGCTGAGAGCAGCGAATCACTATTTTTGCATGTGGCTTCCATCCACAGAATGGCTGCATACCCCTCTTCCTGGCAGTGGAGTCTGGCAACATCTCGGTGGCCCGGGAGCTGCTGACCCACCAGCGAGAGGAGCAACTGCGAACGGTGAAGGCGGACACGGGCGACACGCCGCTCCACGCGGCCTGCCGCCGCAAGGACCCAGATCTGATCAAGCTGCTGGTGGAATGCGGGGGCAGCGTCAATGTCCAGAATGTAAGTGACTGAGAGCGCAGTTAGCAGAGTCTGTGTCAGTCTCACAATTTATCAGAATGAGGAATTATCGCAGGTTGAGAAAAATTGACGGCTGAGAAAGTTCATGCATGAAAGTAGATCCAACATCAATATAGGGTGTAGAGACAATTCAGCATGCCTTTGTAAGTATTACAGTTTGTCAATGAAAATTGGATTACTGAGATCGTGTATGCAGGCGTATCCAACGTCAACGTGCAAAATGGAAGTTTAGAGATCATTCGGCACGCTCTATGTTACTCTTGCTTTATACTAGAATACATGGTGCATGCAGTTCTGACGAGTTCTGATGAGTTTAAGGACGAGTTGATAAGTTTGTGCCTGCAAGTGGAGCCAACATCAAAGTGGTCAATGCGCAGCATGAATGAGGGAAACTTTGGTGGAATCCACGTCAGTGTTTGACAGCTAGTCATGACAGCAATTTTGCAAAAATTCAGAAAAATAACGAATGAATGACGGCTTGATTGCACGTGCAGTGCCAGTCGCCTACAAGGGACATTTACAGCGCAGCGATTTACAGCACATCATTCACCAGTGCTTAGAGATGTAAAACGGGAGAGGTGTATTTTGCATGAGTAACAAAGCCAGACTTTTTGGAATTTGTTGGGGCATCCCCCCCCCTCCCCCCGGCCGTCTTTCTGACAGATGACCAGAGGAGATATTTTGGGAGTTCACTACTGTTTATTTACACAAACAGTTTGGTTTACTAACAGGACGAAGGGCACTCCCCACTGCACATTGCCGCTTGGGTAGGGGACGAGACGACAATGAAATACTTCTATCTAGCGAAGGCAGATGCCAACATACTGGACAAGGTGCGTACACAAAATATTGCTCCTCTTTTGCATGTGTGGTTTTACCCATCTGTCGTTTAGCCGACTTCTTGCACTAGTTTATAGTCTTGAACAAAGTGTAAACACCGCTTGTCAGAATCACAGCAGTGCTGGAAGTGCACTTTGTGCCTCAAATGGTTCACCTCTGCTACATGCAAGAAAAGTTCTGAGCAGTGATGTGCATTCACTGCTCCTTAATTTGTTTCAACTTCATGTGTTATGGAACATAAAGCAGCTCATTACAGGGCAGGAGAAAAGTTTGGAAATTTGGTCAGAGTTGGACAAATTTCCCCGAGAGGGAAGTTGTCTCGGACTTGGCTTGTGGTTACTCGCCCAGTGTGCTTGATTATCCGGCCTTCCGTATTAGTAAAGATGCAGTTGACCTGCATTTCTTTCCTTAACCTACACAGGCCATGACAGCTGACAAATTCACCAAGACCACACAAAAATGTACATAAGTAAATACCAGTATAAAATTGAAGCATTTTGGTTATGTTTTCTTGACTGGGTTATGACACTGTTTCAGCCAGAATTCAGACAAAACGGACCGTGCATTCCACAAATGTGGCGCATCCAGGTCTTTGGTCCAGTGAGCAACACGGGAATGTTTCTAAAGACAATTTCCTTATGTTCGTATAGATGTAGCTGAGGTTCTTGCTGAAACTAACGTCAGAGGAAAGTCAGATTAAAGTCTGTTTACATGTACATGTATACCACACATGGTAACAGGGGATGGATGAATTAAAGAAAAAGGGGTACATTTACCTTAAATGGAATTCAAACCAAAACATGTAGGAGTATATATGCACCTGTTCAATAAATCTGGGTGACTGTTTCCCTCTGGGTCATTCTATAAATTTGGGGTCCAGAGTGGGACATTTTTTCATCCCTGTCACACCGGATATGTACATGTATACTTTGTCAAGGGATATATCATTGAAATTGAGTTCAAACTACTTATATTTGTCTGGCAGGTGGGCCTAATTTGCAGTACCTATTCATTCTTGGAATGAAACAATGAGTTCTAAACAGTCAAAAACCATATGCCAGAAGTAACAGCGACAGGAAAAAAAATGACCCCCAAACTTATTGAATGACCCACCTGCAACCAGTTTGGTGTGAGAAAGCTACATGTATAGGGAATAACAAGGCGTTCCCTTTAAAAATGACAAATGAGGGAAGAGGGCACCTATTGCGCGCCCCTTTGGATCCCTTTGGTGTCAGAGTTCATCTGAACTACTCAGGAACTTGAGGCCGGGACTTGATGAATGACTTGAAGGTTGTGATGGCCCGATTGCTCTTCCAACAAGCCATCCTCAACCAACAGCGGCGGAACAATCGCCGGGCATCGGCCATTAATACTATAGGCCAATCCATTATGCCCCCCCCCATTGTTGGACCTGCAAAAAGTGAAGGGGGTGGGGATATGCCTCGGTTGAAAAAGTGGGCCCTTCCCTGCTTCTGCTGCCAGTGTTCGCAACCAACATTTCAGGGTACATGTACATGTATAAAGGAAATGAAGTCAGTTTGGGGATGAATATGTTGTCAGGAGTCCTTTAACCCTAACTGCCGAAGGGTTGCTAACCTTCCCATTCACACAAAGTTAAACACCCATATAGGACCTAATGCACAGAGGCTGTTGGACTTAGTTTTTTTTTAGGTATGCCAAACATAATGCAAAAGCCAGCTGTCTGAGCCTACCAGACCTATCCCCACAGAATTAAACACTTTACTACTGTTTAATTCTGTGTGGTCGGGGAAGGTTAGGGTTAAACAATTTTAAACCAATTTGAAAGAACCAGCTGTTATGTAGTGGCTAAGATCTGAGGTGACTGCAGAAGCTTAACGTGCTCTATCCTCATAGTCTTCTGGTGAACCTCACCTACAAAAGAGTTCGTACATGCACTTTACTCAGTCACAGACACATTCTCAGGTAATCTGTATTCCTGGGGGAAACCGACAATGCCGCCGATCCCCTGAGCCTGTGAAGGCAGATACATGGATTATGCTTGATCCCCGATTTGTTTTGTCTCCACACACAGTGTTTAGCGAGTCTGTGGAAGCAGACTGGACGAGTACCCAAACTAGCGCTTGGCCACTTGACAGGACCTGTGTGGTTGTAGTGATTTTATCAAACTATATGAAGGTGTAGAGAGGAAACCGTACAAATTTGTACAAATGACTTTCAAGAATCACTTTTTGGGGGCATGTTACTGCATTTCAAAAGAAGGCTGTGAAACGTGTCCACTTGCATTTCTTGACAGTCTGGTTTGGGGCCGTAATTAGTTATCATCAGCAGTTGTTGAACAAAATCATTAATTGTAAGCTGGTTAATAACCTGTGGAAGATGCCTTCGCACTCTGTCTCGGATTTTTTTCCCCCAGTCCAAAATTCAGGGCACAAGTTTGGTGACCCAAAAACCCAGGGCATTCTCTTACATGTACACAACGTTTTGACGTAAGACCCATTTTAAAAGAAAAAAAAAAAGGATGGAACCATTGGATGCTTTGGCTTGGGGCTTCACTTAACTTGTTACCATGCACTCCAAGCCATTTCTCCATGGCAACTCTGCCGAACGTCATTCATTATAAAACATCCCCACCACATTGCCCACCGTCTGGTTGTACTGATACGTGTCATTTGTCACTGTCGCCTGAGCAGCCGACCATATCAGTACCGTGGTCATGGCTTGATCTTTTTAATCCAGAAAACAATTCCAGCCAGGTATAAAAGTATATTAATTGTCCACATTTTTCCCCCGATATAATTTTGTGGCAGTAGCATGCATGCACATTGGTGGAGTGTGACAGTGGAGAGGGTGGAGCTGTAGGCAGGGGGAGGGGGTGAAATCTTGCCCCATCACAAACGTTGACCTTTTTTTTTTTTGAAAATTGAAAGCCTCCAAATTTCAGAAGAAAATCTCTCCCTTTTGCCTCTTCCTACTCAAATCCGGATTAGCCTCAAGTTAACTTTTAACATAGTAGTTGTGAAAGACCAATTAAAAAACTTCCCGATAGTGTACTGAGTACATGGTTTTTATCCACATGAACATGTCCATGTACATGTATGTGTGTAAATCTAGGTCTGCTCCTTGTGCATACACGTGTTTGTGCTCTTCAAAATTTTGAGATAATAGGTAATTCCAGAAATTAGGGGTCCACAAGTGTGGCATTTTCGTCTCCCTGTTACATCTGACATTTGTTATTTGGCATGGAAATATCAACGACTTTGAATTATTTTCACACTTTTTGTATTTGTTTGGCAGGTACATGTACTTTGCATTAATTCATCACTCTTGGAAATTAGAAAATGTGTTCTGAACTCACAAAATCATATGTCACATGTGACAGGGACACCAAAAAAATGGACCCTTAATTTCTGGAATTACCCATACATGTATGTGTGCAATCAGGCGTACGACGCTCAGTTCTCGTAGTTGATGAGCCGTCATATGTGTATGGTTGATTCATACCCCTGGAGGATTTTTTTTAAAGGGAAATAAAGTCTGACATCCATTCTTCGCAGACTGGTCTGGTTCCTGTTTCCAAGTGTAACTTGTGGGGCCATGGCTTAGCTCTTCCCTCATCCCTGCATCTCAAAAAACAAAGTGTGTTGTTTGATATCGACAGAAGATTCTCACCTGATACATGTACATTGTATAATCCAGAAATGGATGTGTTAGGAAACGTGAATTCACGGTCTCCTCCCGCCCCCGCCTCTCTTCCACCAACAGTTGGATCGTTCCCCGGTCCACATTGCCGCCGAGAATGGCCACACGAACATTGTGGAGTTGCTCGTGGATAAGTTTAAGGCCAATGTGTCAGCCCGGACCAAAGACGGCAGCACCCTGATGCACGTGGCCTCTCAGTGTGGCCACCCAGAGACGGCGCTCATGTTCCTCAAGAAAGGTGTCCCTCTTCACATGCCAAATAAGGTAGGCTGGTCTCCACTGCCATCTCTGTGCAGGCTTTCGTGGGTGTTCTTGAGCAGAGCACTTTACTCTGATTTTCCAATCAAGGTGTTATACTTGTCCACAAGCTTTTTATGCGAAGATTCTAAATTTGTGATTTCAAGTCTGCATTGTACTTGTACTTTTTAACTTAGTCACATGTAAATGTAATTTCCCAAACTCGCTGCTTCTTTGAAATGTGCCGGAAGCCATCATGCTGCTTCTGTGTATGTTCATGAGCAAGGCATTTTACCTTGATTTTTTCCACCAAGTATTCTGTATTCCATAGGCTTTTGTGTGAGAAATGGGAATTCCGAGTTGTGTACTCATTTCAAGTCCACACTGTACAATGTACATGTACAAGTGCCTGGAATTAAAGCTCTGAAATTCAGCATTTCTTGGAAATGTGGCCAAAAAGTCATCGCAAAGTTTAGACTAGACCAATGTCTTCCAGTAAAGTTGGTACCACCACATCAGGGTAGGGCTGGCATTCATGAGCTCTGACCAAAAAAAAGAATACCATTTTTGTAATCCCATGCTGGAAATGTAACATTGTTTGGTATCGGCAAATACATGTAGCAAGGGAGTGAGTTCTTTGTCTTTGCCCAAGTATAGATAGTTTGGCCAACATGCACTCTTTTACTGCATGGCCTTAAGGGATTAATCCATGTACAATGTCGTATGGCTGTGCAAGCAGTCCGTCGTGCTCATTGTGAGGATGACAGTGACTCCTCGCAGACCGTCCCCACGATTAATTGTCAGTCTCCGCCTTAACGACCAGCAACAACTGTCTGCGGTATTTATCGTGGTTTCCATGGCAATAGCTTAGAATATCGCAGGACGTAATGGGCTGCTATTGTTCGGCTGGTAAATGCGTTTTCTTAAATTGTTGGATTTTAATACCAAGTATGCTGTACAGTCCAATAATTGCACGGCAGCGCCATGGCCATAATCTGTTTATGTTATCACAAATGTGCCAGTACCTATCACAAAGTGTAGAAGAGGATTTGTCAGCTGACAGCCACTGTCTAGAATTAAGTCGTACCACTTGCGCTTCCGTGAATATGTACATGTACGCATTGCAATATACCCAGTGTTCAGTTTATATCCCATAATTGTCTGACCTGTGAGCTTGCATTAGAGTGGGGGGGCCCATCTCTAGACTTGTCAGTCGCACTCGGAGTGAACTCGGTGGAGACTACAATCTGGTTTCGGAGATTTGATTGTTTTTTTCTCCAAAAAGCAGAACTGTGATTCCAATCCAAGTCTCTGCGACAAGATTTGTCAGGATTTTGCCTGATTTGGGGATTTTATCATTGGGATTTTCTCAGTGTCTGGATTTTTCAAGCAGTTCCTTTTAAAATCTGGGAAATCCCGAGTTTACTATTGTACTGGGGAACATTTTACATATAAGTTGGTGCACAAGTACATGTATTTTAAGGGGATAACTTCACTGAGGCAAACACAAATGCGTATGGGTCATTCCATGAGGGTGGGGCACAATTTGTGACGGTGTCCACTGTTACGTGGTTTCCGTAAAAATGAACAGCTATTTCCCTGAATGTGGATTCCAAATTATACATCTTGCTAGGCTGAATACAGAGGTGGGTTACTTTCACTGAGTAAATTACATGTACCTCCTCTGCGGGTCGTGACAGGTGGTAAAAGTTACCCATGTAACAAGGAAACCATCACAAATTGTGCCCCAACCTCATGGAATGACCCACGTGTCGTAGACACCTTCCTATGGGGCCCTTAAAACCACATGTGATTATTTTGTGGATACTTCATTTTCCTTCAATCATACCCTTGAAGTCTGGAATCAAATGGCTCCTCAAAAAGTGACCGGTTCTTTATGTTAGCCATCAATTAATTAACCAGTTTAAGGTTCCGTGTACAAGTACTGTATACATACATGCACATGTATGCATTTTACCTTGTTTCTATCAGGCTGGTGCCGTGTGTCTTCATGCAGCTGCCAAGCGTGGTCACATGGCAGTGGTCAAGGCACTGTTACAAAAGGGAGCTTTAGTGGATGCCAAGACAAAGGTACCCGTACCTTATTGAATGTCTCTTTTTGCCATTATGCATCAACATCGCCTTCTTAAATATGTTCTGCTCAAAGTGAATCTTCATCATAACGGGCAGAGAGATCTGGCTTGTTCCCATATTAGAAATTTATACCGCTTTGGTTCTTTCCAAGAGGAAGGTCCATTTCATGCGCCCAAACAAAAGCCGGACATAAACAAAACTAGGATTATTGAATCAAAACAAAAGACTGTTCAGTTCAAGGTATTGGGTGCACTCGCCCACGTGACAAAAATCACACGATGGAACCGCCTTGGACCTAATTGTGTGGCATGTGAACATCTGGTAGACGTTCAGAGGACATTATCTCCAGTAATCCAGTGATCTTCCAAATTGCAGGAATTTCATAAAATGTATTCCATGAAATTTAAAAAAAAAAAACTTCAACCTTTGATCCAGTGTGACAATACCAGGAAGACGTCTCAACTTTTCACGGCCCATTCCACCTGTTCAGTGTATTGCACGCCACCATAACATCACAGCGTCTGAAAAGGCCAATGTTTTGCGTTCGCTTGTCTTGTCTTAGGACAGCTACACAGCATTGCACATAGCAGTCCAGCACTGCAAACCGTTGGTGGTGCAGACTTTGCTGGGCCACGGGGCCCAGGTGCAACTCAAGGGAGGGAAGGTAAGCTGGACATCGTCGGAAAATGCCCATGATGAAACTTGAGCCTACCTAGCAAGAGGCTGTATTGAAGCCGTGCTCTTTACTTGTAAATCTTAGAAGTGTTATACTTCAGCAGATACAGGCACTGTACCCAACACATCTTTTTGATAAATTGCAACCGTTGTTGGTCACGTCTCTACGTACATACGCATGCATACCCCAGTTGCTATGCTTTGACATCAGCATGGTAGTATTCTGAAATGACAGACTTGAGTGAAATGCTTTTATTTCACTGTACATGTATGCAGTGTTGTAGTCAAGTACTTTCCGAGTACCAATGTTCTCCGCAAAGTACTGAACTGGGTAAGAGGGAATAAAGCCAGAGTGCACAGGCATTTGATGGTAAATGTGCAAAGGTAAGATTCCAAAATAAATGTTAGACTTCAGACACTCCCAGTTGTGTAAAATTTAAGTTTTAAGGAGAAAGGTACGTGGAAAGTACTCAGCCGAGTACTTTCCGAGTACTTTTTTCCTAAAAAGTTAATTTTAATCCAACAGTGAAGGTCTGAAGTCATGATGTTGCTTTGTAATCTTACCTTTATGCATGTATCATCAAATGCCGATGTACTTCAGCTTTGTTCCCTCCTAACTAGTTAAATATTTGGCAGAGAACTTGGTTCTCAAAAAGCACTCGACTATATCACTGCATATATGTAAGCCACTGAACTTGCTCAGAAGCAAACTTTGTACATACTTTAACACATGCAAAGATATTATGTTACTTAGTGGGACGTCAAAACAAAGTACAGACTGTGCTCTTTGCAATGTTTGTAAAAGGCTATGGCTGTGGCAAGCCAATGGCTAATGACTGTTATCACTTTCCATAGTCATGTGTTACGTACAGCCGCAGCCAGTCGATTTGGACACAAGTCTAAAGTACAGTCTGGTCAGATCAAGTCAGATTTGCAGATATATATCATTATGCCTTGGGGGAAAGTCCCTCCGGGAATATACCCTGGCCGCGATGTTTGCTGTCGTTGATGAGATCTCATTTTGTCCAAGTAATGACACCTCTTTGAAAGGGAATTCATTGAATGGTGGATCTGTTGGGTATTCCTGTAGGCGGAGGAAACACCCCTGCACATCGCAGCTCGCATCAAGGAAGGGGAGAAGGTAGCGGAGATGTTACTGAAGAGTGGCGCTGACGTCAATGCAGCGATGGCGGTATGGGTTTTTACCTCAGGCCAACACAAAAAAATTGTTTTGTTTCCTAATTCATCCAAAAGACATTGGGGTGGGAAGGTGGGTAACACATTTTTATAAGGTGCAGTTATCAATCCTTGATTGAAAGATCAAATAATCGAAAGATCTACTAATTGATGAGGTGATTTCCTAACTGAGTGGATCCTATAATCCTTTAATCAGTTAGTCACTTGAGAAAGTTATATCACTCAATTGAATATGCTTAGGTAGCATAGAATCTTGGCATGCTGTGTTGTTATTGTAGCGAAAACCTGCTGCATTGTGGTTGAGACCATCATAAGACCAGTCATAAGAGCAGATACCAGACCAGACACAAGAGCTTACGCAAGACCAAACATAAGAGCAGTCACAAGACCAGACAAAGATTTAGACATAAGAGCAGTCACAAGACCAGACACAGAACCAGTCACATGACCAGACACAGAACCAGTCACATGACCAGTCACAAAGGATTGCTATTGTTGCAGTTCATTTGAATAGCCCCTGACTTGCATTTAGACTGAAGGTCTTGTGTCCGTCTTGTGGTGGTCATTATAACTTTTGACTACACGTACAACACTGGAAACCAGAGGTGCGAGGCCGGAAGTCCACATGTTTTCCTGTTTGTTCAATCTATAGAATGGAGAGACGGCCATGCACACAGCAGCTAGACATGGTCATTTGTTGATGGTACAGGCGTTACTGGAAGAGGGAGGGGATCCTGTGTGCCAGTCCAAGGTAAAAAAAAAACCACTTCATCTCGGGGTTTTTCAAGTTGACAAACTAGTCTCCGCAGGTTTCCCTTCGTTTTTGTTCATCACCTACCAATACCTCAGGGAGCTATTATCGACTAGCTGGCCCCAAGCCAGGTTGCAGTTGAGTAATGTGTCTGTGTCCCAAGATGGATGCCGGGAAACCGTTGGCATGGAGACTGGAAATAAACGTCCATTTGAGCGCGGGCTAGTCGTCCATCAGTCCACGATGCTGATGCATGTATTTATTATTCATACCCTGTCAAGTTTATTTGCAACTAATCATGTGTTCCCAGCAAGAAATCTCTGTGCATTTGCCGTCGTGCACATCTGTGGCTTGTCCAATTGTTTTGAATTTCTCAACAATGCATTTCTGGCTGAGTCAGTCTGAATTATTGAACGCCTGAATATATGGCCATCCATTCAAATGAATGCTCAGTTGTACTAAATTTCTTGTTTTATGTCCTTTTTTTTTAATTAGTCTGGTGAGAATCCACTCCATATTGCTGTGCGACGGTCGCATTACCCCATCGTCAAGGAGATCATACAGTTCTTGCACAATGAGATGTCGCGCCTGGATGCCGTCATGGCAGTCAACGAACAAAGCACGGTGAATGAGATTTCAGCGACTTCAAAACCACTTCAATACATCATGTCACTGTTGAGAGAAAAGAATAGTCTCTTTTCCAGATGTTATGTGCCTCAGACGTGACGCATTGTTCTTTTTGGGGTGTGGGGGTTGATGTTTTGGTCAGTTTTGTGTTTCCTTCTCTATTTATTGCTTTGAAGCAATGTCCATGTGTCCAGTGACTTGGCTACAAGGAGAATCAGCGTTTGCCTAGTTGGTGGGGCCTATAACAATTGTTCATGGGCGTTGTAAGGAGGATACTCACCACCCCTCCAGAAGAAAAGTGAATAATAACAAAGGAAAAATAGAGGAAAGAAAAGGTACTGAAGAAAAAGCTGGATGGAAGGAGATGACGATCACTGATTCACCCCCCAGTTGACCCCCTCTCGCTGTTTACATTTCCTTTAATCAGACGAGTTATTTGCCCCCTAACCCCCCCTCCCTAAATAAAAGTTCCCCTTGGAATAAATTTTGGCAGTGCACATATAATTGTCAGTTTGTGTTAAGAATTGTGAACCATAGTATTAAACAGGAAAATCTGTTTGATGGGTTGTTTGTTGCTATATAGACTAATCCGATTAGACGCCATAACTGCAGTGGCACCGCACTCACACGCACATTCTTTAGCTTGACGCGCTTGCATTTGGCAAATCACGACACCCTATTGGTCGAAGAGGCATGTAACGCGCGCGTACCACCTGTCCACGAGAAGTACAGCACCGCAGTAATGGCTTCTACTTCTGGTGGTCGAATTACACTATAGGCTGATTTTTTTTAAGACAGTCAGATGATGTAAGTCTAGAGACTTTTTTGTGTTTAGGAAGGAGAAACACCGCTCCACTATGCAGCTGAAATCACAAAAGAGATGATCCATTACTCTGGGGAGGATACTGACATCATGCAGTTGTTGCTGCAGTATGATGCGGACATCAACCTCATCACTAAACTGGTACGTATGCTTGATACGATGGCCAGGTCGTGCAACTTAATTGACTGTTGCCAGCCTGAAGCTGCATCCGAATCTGTTGTCCAGAGCTAGGTCTGGGTCTTTCCTCCATCAGAAATGTGTGGAGACGCGTAGACAATAGACCTAGCCGTAACTCTGGAAGCCCTTTCGGACACGGCCTGAGTTCTTGTTGGAATCGACTTTCTAGATGTCAGCTGTTTTCACAGATTTATTCTAGTTTGGGAACTATGCACAGTGGGAATGCAGTGTTTGCTCGCCCAGTTTTCATTGGAATGTGCACAAAGGCTTTAGCATCTCTGCCGTGAGATCAGGTGTAGACACGAGCAGTGTAAATTGCCATTTGGTTATGGTACATGTATTTCTTGGCATATGTACTGCTGAAGGAATTGTGGTTGGTCGGGCCCTAGACCATTTCCAAACCAGCTGGCTTTGGATAAGAGTAACACGTATCCGTGGGGAGTTTCTGGAGCCACTAGCCATCGGCGTCCATACGTGCACATTTCTAGCTCCAGCCATGTACCTCTGACAGCATCTTAGTTCCTATCACTGAAAACTCTGTCCCTCTCTATCCCTGTGCTCTCGTTCCTTTTGATTTACACCTTTCAAGCCGATCATTGTAGCCAGGTTTATTATACATCTACTTTGTTTCAGACCCAAGAGTCGTCGCTCCACTACTGTGCCAGAGCAGGCAACAACAACATCATGCTGAAGATGGTGAACCACCTGGGACCCAACCGGACCCAGCTCGCTGTCAACAGACAGAGCAAGGTACCGGTAGCCATCCTGACAAACTGTTATCAGGAAGACAAGTCTTCCTGCAGTAGCCTTCGGGCATTCCTCAACTTCCACCACAAACTGGTACTTGTTCCGGTACATACGTGTGAACTTTTTCTGGATTCCTGACATTTCAGGCGAAGCTGTCAAGTCCATCTCCCTGCTAGGGAAAACGTCCAACACGATCCAGATTCCAAATGCCCGGCATCTGTGTCTGTTTTCGATCTCATCTTCTGACTGGTGCTTGTTCAAATGACCACAAGATCCATTGAATAAATGGTCTTGATGATAGATTCACCCTTGTCTCGAGTCCTACATGTACATTGAATTATCAGTTTTGTGGTTGGATGTACATAGAAGCAATTTTTGTGGGGTTTTATGGTTTTTCTGCTTGCTTTCTCAGTTACAGTTTCTGCTTTTTTGGTTGTTAGAATGGCTGGTCCCCCCTCTTGGTTGCCAGTGAAGAAGGCCACGTTGAAATTGTCAAACTCCTCCTTCAGAGCAATGCCAGAGTGGATGTGTTTGACGAGGTTTGTATGTTTCACGAGGTGATGTCAATTCTAGAATGGAACGCAGTGTTCGTAGCTTGATGGCGCAGTGTCTTAGGCCTAGTCTGTCTTATTCTTAGGATTGTTGAAGAAATCATAAGCTTGCGGAAACTCCCTTTACTCAATTTTCTGGTTGGCCCAGGAGTGTGATCTCTTGAGGATTTTTCCGAATGCGGCATTTTAACCCCCACGATGTGGAATTTGATATGTGTTGTCATTGAAGTTTTTCTACTTCGTAGCACACTGTACAAACCATTAGCAAGTAAAGACCTATCCGGCTTGCTGACTGCTGTCCTCAATTGACCTTTTCATTCTGAATGCCTTGGTCGTTTCTCGTCTCGCAGCACGGCAAGGCAGCCCTCCACCTGGCCGCCGAGAACGGCCACAGGGAGGTCGCCGACATCCTCCTCTGGCACAAGGCCTTCGTCAACGCCAAGTCCAAGCTGGGCATCACCCCGCTCCATTTGGGGGCGCAGAACGGTCACAACGAGCTGGTCAAGTTGCTGATCTGCACCCACAGTGCCACCATCGATGCCCTCTCCCTGGTATGTTGAAGTTTGCATGTTGTGAAATCAGCAGGGACCGTTACCATTTCACACCCTCATGGTGCCCATGGGTTTCTATTAGAATGCCTATACCCAAGCAAATGAAACTCCTAGAACCATAGGCCAGTTTCCAAAAGCTGCTATCTGCCCCGAGCGGAAGTGCGCCCCCAGTCGGCGAAAGAAAGATAGGTGGTTACAAGCGGGTTCTTGCAAGTGTTCTGCGTGTACGCAAAGACCATACATGCCGCAGTAAATTAGCTACACGTATTCAACGTGCTCCAGGTCAAACGTGCATATACTTGCGCACCTCATGAAGCGCCTATGCGGTGAGTACCAAAAACATGCCCTGTGTTGTTCCACTCGGAGCGGATTAAGAGCAGTTCAAGTCTGCATGGCATGGAAAGGTTTGGCCTAACCAGTTACCAGCCAAACATGCACCCAAGTCAGTTGCCTGTTACTGGCTCTCGACTTCTTCTCGCTCAGTGAGATAATCAGCTGAGCAGTGTTTTCATCATCTAAAGATGAGATTAAATTCCCAACCTTCTCTTTGATTTCGTTGTGTAGGCGAAGAAGACGCCCCTCCACTTAGCCGCCCAGAGTGGCCAATTGGAAGTCTGCGAGACACTGCTGAAATTGAAATCCGACCCCAACTCTAGCGATATGGTAAGCCAGTCATCCAAAATTTCACCTAATTAAAGAGAATTACTCTCATCTCATTGTCAACTCATTCCCTTGACTTCTGATCAATTGTTACGTTGGGCATTGTGACTGTAAAAATCAAGGTAGATTCAAACATATCTGAATTATTGCCACGAATACCCCGATCAGTTCCCAATAAAAATTCTTTATTATTATTATTAACCATTTCTGGTCAACCTACCCTAAGGCTTTATCAAAGCAAAACATGTTTTGCTTGCTTAAATTTGGCTTGTGTGATTTGCTTTATTTTTTACGTGTATCCAGCATAGAATTTGATCAGCAGTGGTGCACTTCTACCTTTTCTTGCAGTGCATTTATTTTGCCACCGTACAGGACAGTTATATGGAACTTTATTCGTTTGCCTTTTGGTAGGACAGGTCTCGGGCAGTGCTGTTGAGAAGGAATTTTTGAGCTATTAAACTGTCTAGATCAACTCGGATCTGCTGAATTTCAATTCCACGTTGTACAGTTGTTTGATTCAGCAGGGGCACAATATCCCACAATTGTTCAGATTGCCGGATTTTTGCTCACCCAGAGTTTGAATTTTTCGATGTTTGCAAATACCCTTTCTGGTTTGCTGCTTGTCACGCTTTGTTACACAAACAAGGGGGCAAAACTCCACCAGCGACTAAAAGCTCCATTAACCCTAACCCTCCTGAATCCTTCACCTGTTGGAGGATTGAGGAGGGTTAGGGTTAGTGACTAAAAGCACCCAAAAGTCAGTGTTTTCTTGTAATTGCTACAACCCTTCTACTGGATGTTTTGTGGATTTCTCATCAACCCCCAGTCCTGCCAGTCGTACCCTTATTCAGGTCTGCAGAGCCCAGTTACCGTCACATTACATTGTACTAGATGTGTAAACATAAGTTCTTTAAGGGATTTGCCTTTGAACTGATACAGTACATGCACTTGTTTGTGTGTAGAACAATTCTGATATGAAGCAGTCATGAGCGAATTCCTTTTTCGTTTTGTGGCTGTGCAGTCAATGGCATTTCCGTGTTGCCAGGGTTTAACATACCTCTGCATGTTGCATTCTGCAAAATGCCGGAACTCTGTATCTTGGGCACGACCATTACATTTTGATTAAACAACCGCCTTTGGAAAGTACCGGTACATTAACAAGCCATCGTGGTAAGAATGAATTTGCCACACTTGGAGCTGGTCCAAGAATGGTTCATACCGAAAGTTGTGGCTTTATTTCCAATAAATTGCAGAAATTCTTTATAATTTGTTCTGAATGTTTAAACTCGCCACGGAGCAGTATTATGCTCTGATGAAAGTCTGTCCATAGCCTCTGGCAGTTTGTCTTTACCCTGCAAACTCAGGTTTGTGTCATCTCGTTGCTCCATGCCAGTTGCTCACTCATTACCCCTTAAATATTTCATCCGTTGTTCATCCATTATTTATCACTAGTTGAGAGTTGACAATGTAAGTAACCATGGCAACATCTCATCCTCATTTCATCATTTGTTTCCCCTCTTCCCCAGAGTCTGCTCGATGAACCTATTCCATCTAGTCTCTCCTGTGTGTTTCTGTGAATTGATATGAAACCAGAGAATGAGTCCACTGTTTGTAAACTACGCTAGAATTTTTGTTCCCCAAGAGAATGCTTGCGTTCGTAGCATGGCATGACACAACTTCAGTTTCTGTCGTGTTTATAATCTGCTGTAACAGAGGGTATACTAATTGCTTGCATTCCATTTTCCCTGACACGTGTGATACGTTCTGATTCGAATGTGAACCTTCACTTGTGAAGAATTCCTGATAGCTTCTTGAACCTTGTAGTATGTAGAAGTGATTCTTTGTACACATGGTTGTGAAGTAAAGATTTAGTGCTGGGGGAACGTGGAGATGGATGCGTCCCCCAAGATCTTGGCTGTCCCATCAAACAACTTTTCTGAAACCTTTCACGCATGTAAACACGTCTACATGAGCACATGACCACACCTCTTAACTGTCAATTCAGACCTGAAAAGGATATTGTTGCGGTCATTTATATCTGGGCCTCTCGTGCGTGCCTTCCCATGCACTGAGCTCATGTCAGTTGGAAAATTTAAATCTTTGGCCTGCCCATCTCATAAGGACGCTGCATTCTACTTCCATAAACTTGGTAGAGAAATGACCAAAAGACTTTCGCAGAGACATTCGGGATTGGGACAGTAATAGAGTTTATTTTTGTAATACTGGAAGCAGTTTTTTAAGGTTAACCCTAACCCCCTAGGCCTTTTTACTAGGAACCATCCTCAATCCTCCAAAAGCCTCCCAAATTTTTAAAACAATTTTTTGGAGGTGTGCCTACTGCCTCAATCCTTCAAAATCCTCCGGCAATTCCCGTTACTAAAGGCAGTGCAAATGGCATTCTTGAGCTGTGCAGTTGATTCAAAAGAAATATTGGATGCTTGACTAAGCAAAAACAACACAAGGTCTAATCCATGACCTTCAGGCATGGCCTCCTTTGCAATAAGCCATGCACTTTTGACATTCACCTCGATCCTCCAAAGTCCTCCAAAACCGCCCACAGGATTTTGGAGGGTTAGGGTTGAGTCATCATTTATTGACGTGAACAGTGGCCCAAGCACTCACTTACTTCTCATCCATCTCTTGAAACCAGACTCATAAGTCAACTGACCCTTTCGTGGACTCAACTTCAATTCAGATTAAACCGTTTGCTCGATTCTGCAAACCATGTAATTTTTTAGTAGTCAACTTCTTTTGTTCAGGGATTGGACTTTTTATTGATACTGGTATGTTCTAAACTGTTTTGTAATCGGTCACGGCTTGTCAATTACCTCACAGCATGGTCAGACTCCATTGCACCTCGCAGCCAAGAACGACCATGCCGAAATCGTCAAGCTCTTCTTGAAACACAAGCCGGAGCTAGTCACAATGGCCAACTCGGTGAGTTCACCATGGACCTCTTTTCTTTCTGTAATTGCAATCAATGATATTTCCTTAAGTTAGTGGGCCATTTCTGTTTACTGAAATAAGATAAATAAATCCATCTGTCGATATTCATAAGATGTGACTTGTGCATGGGGAAATGTTAAGTTTTATGTTAGAAATATTGCTCTTTTCACACGTAAATTTATAGCACTTTATACCCAGTATTGTTCAAGGTCTTGAAAAAGTCTCAAGCTTACTTAGGGTTACTAAAACTAAAAAACTGTGGACACTTCTGTTAGCCATTGATGAACTGAAAACCAAATGGACAGTGCAAATTTGTTTCTAATCCAACCGGGTCGACCAAACATAGAAGGCAAAGGAAGACCTTTTGACCTTGCTGGGAATCAAACCAGGTGGCCAAAATTTGGAGGCCTAGGAAGAGTCCTTGACTTGGGTGGGCATTGAACCTGGGTGGCCAAAATTGGAAGGCAATGGAACAACCCTTGATCTGCATGGACGGTACATGGGGGTATGAATTGAACCAGGGCAAATAGGAAGGCAAAGGAAGAACCTTTAGAAGGACACGGGACTTGGGTTGGAGTCAAACCCAGCCCCCCCAAGATGGAGGACAGTAGACTGCATTTAAATGTTAAGACTGTGGCTGTATTACACACGCATCCATGGAAGCCACTAGCTAGCCACTTACTAACGGCTACGGCTACAGCCCATAGGCACATGTTATACTCTCTCAGCCACAGCAAGTGGATATGGGCACGGCCCTATTAAACTGTTGCATCTTATGGCTAATAGTCTCATTAATTTCCTTGTGCGTCATCTCGGCAGGATGGGTCTACATGTGGGCACATCGCCGCCTCCAAAGGGAGTGTGGCTGTCATCAAGGAACTCTTGCGCTTCAACAAAATCGGCGTATGCACAGCTAAGAACAAGGTCAGCAAATGAATCTTCCAGCTCCCCACCAATGCTTCGTTTGGAGAGATGCGTTGAAATTTTGGCATCATCTTCCTTGAATACCAAAATATTGATATATTATGCTTGATAAAGTCAGTGATATCAAATCATTGGTATGACTTTGTTGCCAACAAAAATTTGAAAAAGTAATTTGAAATTTACTACTGCAATACTTATATCGGTCACTCAACAGACCAACGACTCTACAGCGTTGCACCTAGCGGCCGCGGGAGGTCACAAAGACGTGGTGTCTGTCCTGATCGATAATGGAGCCTCACCAACTGAGGAGAATGCTGTGAGTGGCAATTGATATTTACAATACTCTACAACCCCTGATTATCGTGCTTGTACATGTATTCTAAAAAAGTTAGAAATATGCAGTTGCTGCCTTGATAAACCAAGCCGGTGTCATAGGAAATTAGGACCCCTTGAAAGCCTGTCCTTTTCTTTAGTATGGACTCCCAGCCCACACGTCGCTGCTAGTAATCATTGTTTCAAATTGTATATAGTATGATTCAGGGCCAGAAAGTTTGTAGGTGAGCAAAGTATCAATATGCCTGACGTTTTGATCCGAGCAAGAATCGTTCTCCGCTTCTTCATAGGACGGGATGACTGCAATCCATCTGGCTGCCAAGAACGGCCACGTCGGCGTCCTGGAGTCACTGAAGGGCAAGGTGTCCTGGAAGGCCCCCAGTGTCAAGACGGGCCTGACGGCGCTGCATATTGCCGCCCACTACGGCCAGAGCGACTTTGTCCGGGAGATGCTGACCAAGGTGCCGGCCACCATCCGCAGCGAATCGCCCGCATCTATGCCAGGGGACCTCAAGGAAATCTCCATTCACGATGTAAGACCTTATTCCGTCTTTTATACAATATTGGGTGTTGGGAACAACGGTATTCCAATTGCCTCTGCCTCAGGAGCCATTCAAGTTAACACCGCTGATTTCTTAAAAATGGGTAAATTAAATCAGATGTCATTTTCGGCAAATGACCACAGCCACCTGCCTGAAATTCGCCGGGACCTTCTTCTGGTTCAACTTGGGACTGTATCTTTACTGTATCTTTATAATGTTTACAGTATGTAAAACTTCAACCTGTGTGCCACAAATTAACCCCAATGGTTCCAATACCATAGATTTATAATAAATGATATATAAGCAAGCCCAATACAGTGAGATTACATGTGTATTCAGAATGTTTACACTGTCGTTTTGTAAATGAAATTTTGTGTGCATGTGGTGGTATTTTTAGCATGGCTTGACTCCCCTTCATCTTGCGGCACAGTCTGGCCACGAGGGCCTCGTCAGGTTGCTCCTAAACTCTCCTGGTGTCCAGCCCGACGTACCAACCCAGGAACAGGTATGTACGCGCAGCGCCCGCTGCCGACTTATACAGTACTCTATGAGGACCCCAAATTTGCCTTGTTTGGACCTGCTTCCCGAAACCGAGTGCCAAGTACGTTTCGTAAAACCTAAGTTCTGCGATGCCAGGAATTCTCATTTTACCAGAAAGCCTGAATTCAGGCAGCTGAACTCGGGTTTTTGGCCGAGTCATACCAGGATTTCAAGCATCCCTCTTCATCCACCGTAATATTCCTGGAGGAAACTCCAGCAGTAAGCAAATACTATCACCTGATTGAACGGCACGTGGGGTACATCTCACCGTGCCTGAACTTTGACAAAGTTAATGTAGCCAATGTGGTATGTAGTTTTATGAAGTTATAAAACCTTGTTTTCCAGTTTTAATTGTTGAAATGGACCGATTGCACCTGCTAAATCAAGGATCTATAGTGGGTATCACTCCCATACGGTAGCAAAGTGTGTTTGGAGTGTTGTTTACAAATGGTGAAACCGATTTATGGTATAGTACCCAGCACATCAGTAGGATGAGTACAGTACCCTCCACTGGCTTCAGGTTTTGTAAATGATACTTATGAAACCCTCTGCTTGTGGTGGACTCTGTGTTTGTTCTTCTTCTTCAGTACGTAGCAACAGATTCACTGAATCCATGTATATCCTCGGGAGAAGACAGAGCGACACAAAATTAATTTAAGTTCCTATCCCTGGATCTGATAAACTCAGGAACCTGATCCCCAAAAGAGCTGATTGACATTGTTGAGACTATTGTATCTGGAAGCGTGTTTCAATCTCTACAAGTTCTGGGTACAAAGGAATTCGTATGCGCTTTAGTTCTGCTGTGCGGCAAATCAAGTTGAGAACTATCAATTTGAGAACTATTTCCAGTGACTGTTCTACGTTGTTGACTATAGGTCAGGTGACTTAGCAGGTGCAATTGGTCTTTTAGGGCTTAAACGAATGAGTTACTTCAAATCCCAGTCTAGTGTGGAGATAAGCCCCATGGCAGTAGGGGCATTCATTTGTCCCGCAGATTACTACACAAAATGTGGAGTAGTCACCTGCAGTGTTGACATATTGCTGCAGGTGCCTAATTGATGATGTCAACTTTTCTGCTGCAAAGATTTTGGTTTCCTGGTTTCAGACCGGGGGCCAGATTTTTAAAAGAGATATTCGCCTCATGTATTCCTGGCTTAAAATTTGTTTCTCTAGGGGACGATTCCTCTGCACCTGGCCTCCCAGAGTGGCCACACGGCCGTGGTGGGTCTCCTTCTCAGCAAATCCACCACGCAGCTCCACGTAAAGGACAAGAGGGGACGCACTGGGCTCCACCTAGCTGCAGCCAACGGCCACTATGACATGGCATCCCTGCTTCTCGGGCAGGGCTCGGACATCAACGCCTTCGATAAGGTGAGCTCGAAAAATGAGGCTTGGAAAAAATAAACTGTATGAACCATGCCATTTGGACGGGTGAACAGACCTTTTATTCTATTGTTGCGAGATCAAGATGCAGTTTTAAGAAAGGCCTCACAGATCCTTCAAAATACACTAGTTTTTAAAGATTTTGCAGGATGGTGGAAGGTAGAGCCCAGCCACTGTTACTCTACCTGGGGCTTGATGCCCCACGACAGTTAAATGTGAAAAAAATTGTGCTATTGGTTTCCTGCACAGTTGAGTGTTTTACAGGATTCCGGAGGGTTTCTTGCAACAAATGCCTAAGATTTTTGCTACAAAAAAATTCAAATCAATTAAGTTTCATTTTACAGGTATGCCTTTTATCTCCGATAAGTTCCTCTGTGGATGGAGTATATGAATATTCTTATTAAAAAGAAACATTGAAAAACATGGTAGTTAAATTATGTAGACTAATTAAGATGTTCTCCTGTGACCTACAGAATGGCTGGACACCTCTCCATTTTGCAGCAAAGGCCGGCTTCCTCAATGTCGTGACGCATTTGGTGGAGAGTGGCGGCTCACCAAAGTTTGAGACCAAGGTGACCCTACTTTTTGCACAAAGATATCAAGTTGTTAGGGGTGATCAGAAAGTTGGACAGAATATGGACTTGGTACTGAGATCTTTCAGAAATCTGTCCCAGTGGCTCATACAGTGAATCAGTTCTTGATATTAAATTAGTGGTTACATTTTATAGAGCTCATGAGATGGGAGTTGTCACGAAGGGCTTTGTCCTTCTGAAAATTGACCTTTGCACTCTTTCAAATTTTCAATAGAAAATCTTCCACTTGTCATCAGTCCACTGCCCAATTAACGAATGCCCTTCTTTGCCACTGCAGTAGACGACACAAACATTTTTGACCCACCCTAACAATATTAAATTGACTACATGTCACCCGTCACAAGAGTCATTTGTATCATGTAAATCATCGATTATTGCGTTTTGCTTTGATATTTGTGTATTCTGTCAGGATGGGAGAGTAGCCATTTGCTACGCGGCAGCAGCTAATCATCTCGCCGTGCTCAGCTACCTGATGAAGAAAGAACACAACACACAGCACCTGATGGAGGACAGGAAGGTAAGATTACCTGACGTGGAAAGCAGGACAGCGTGGGTTAACAGGCACGGATCCGCCCCCTGCCAATTTTCCTGTCTGGGACTTATAATCTAAAGCAGGAAGGCCCCCTAAAAGCGTAAACTATGTAGCAGTCTAATGTTGTGGTTATGGATAAGGACAAAACAACATCAGCAACAGCGACAACTACATTTTGTAACCCTCCCCTGTGTGAATAAATCTTTCCTGAAACACCCCTAGCCAAAAAATGCTGTACCTGCCCCTGGTTTAAGTCACTCCTCTGTACATGTAGAGAGTGGACTGATCACATTCAGCATTTAAGAGGCCATCTTGGCAAAGAGCAGGACTGTATTGATTTGAACCCCTCCAATGTAGCTAGCCAAATCATAACATTCCAGCAGTTAAGGCCAACTCTCACCCTTGAGTGGAATCTCATGAGTTCAAACCTTCTGGTGTGGCTAGGGGGGCTGACCACGTTCCAGCATTGCAGACCAACTCAACCTGTGAGCTGAATTACATGGGTTTGACCCCCTTAGCTAGTGGAATCATTACATTCAAGCAATTTTTTAACTTAGGAGCAGCCTTCAGAAATGAGGAATCCGTCTATTACTTTTATTATACTACCATAATAGCAATTTTGAATTGGCTTTGATCTTATTTACTCAAGTGTATTTTCATTTGCTTCCAATTAAATTACGGGTGTGATCATTTTATCGCCAGTTTGTTTTTGATTTAATGGTGTGCGGCCGCTACAACAACAACGAGTCCATCCAGGAGTTCATTCTGCGATCGCCAGCTCCCATCAATACAGCAGCCAAGCTCTCCAAGAACTTCCGGCAGCAGTCGGCCAGGGAGAAGGAACGGGCCCGGGACCTGACAGAGGCCAGCGCCTTCTGCGAGTGCATGGCGGTGGACCTGCTATCAGTCTCAGCCAGCACCAGCAGCGCCGGCCACCTGCTGCGCTCGGTGGACAGCCGGGGCATCACCTTCCTGGACGTTCTCATCGAGTGCGAGGACAAGGAGGTGGTGGCACACCCTTCAGTGCAGCGCTATCTTTCCGATCTGTGGATGGGCAATCTGACCTGGGCATCCTGGCAGATCCTCCTCCTGTTCCTAGTCTTCATCATCTTGCCACCCATTTGGGTCTTCTTTTCCCTCCCTCTAAAGTTACGTTTCAACAAGCTCCCCATCATCAAGTTCATGGGTTACCTGGTCTCCCACATCTACCTGATCATCTTGCTGATCTTGACGACGGTGATCACCCCGTTCATCGAGGAATTCATCCGGACCAAGTCGCTTGTGCCCAACTGGTATGAGTGGCTTCTTCTAGTCTGGCTGACGGGTCTCCTGGTGTCGGAGATTACTAACCCAGGCGACCGGCAGGGCCTAGGCTACATCCGGGTTGTCACGCTGGCGTTCTCCTCGGTGGCCTGCATCATCCACATCGCTGCCATCCCCTTCAGCGACGACACCAAGCTCTACATGATCTATGCCCGCAACCAGTTCTTCGCCTGGTGCCTCCTCTTCACCTTCGCCGGCCTGCTGGAGTTCCTCTCCTTCCACCATCTCTTCGGACCCTGGGCCATCATCATCCGCGACCTCATGAAGGACCTGGTCCGATTCATGGTCATCCTGCTCATCTTCCTAGTTGGGTTTATGCTACACCTGTCGGCCGTCTACCAGCCGGTCACCGAGCAGACACCAGAGATGGCCAACAGCACAGACTCGATCCAGACCCCCATCGACACCTTTGTGGTGCTGTTCTTCTCCCTCTTTGGGCTGGTTGAGCCAGGGGATCTGCCCCCCACGATCCGGAGCCCACCCTTCACCACCGTCTTGGTCAAGTTCGTCTTCGGCACATATCTTATCGTGACCCTCATTGTCCTCATCAATCTGCTCATTGCCATGATGAGCGACACCTACCAACGCATCCAGGCCCAGTCTGACACAGAGTGGAAGTTTGGCAGGGCCAAGCTTATTCGTCAGATGAACAAGTCCTCCGCTACCCCGGCCCCCCTCAACATACTCACCAAGTTGGTCACGTACTGCAAAGCGGCCTACAAACACAAATGTTAGTATTCGGTCCTCAGTTTTCACTTACCAACAACAACCATTTAAATGAAAATCTGGTATACCATATCATTCCTTAGCACTATTACCATGCAAACCTGGTATTGTGATCAAATAAAGTAACATTTCTGTATTTCTATCTTTTGAGAGTAGGGTACAATTTGTCAAAAAATTAAGCATTTTAGGTAACAGCACCTGCTGTTGAAAATCTGTAAATAATGTGTGACTTTTGGTTGTAAATTCAAAGCTAATCCAATTTGCATTTGTGACCCGCTCTGCAAGAAAAGGGTAATACGAGGAAGTCCCACTATGCCAAAACACTTAATGGCCTGTTCTATTTGGAGAGGGCAAAATTTCTTCCAAAATGTGATTTTGTGTTATTCCTTCAACAGTTTCTATAATATTTATATTTCAAACAAAGATGAAAAACTGATCATTCAGTCTGAAATCCTAGATAACATTGTGTTTCCAAGCGCTACACTTTATGAGCTTTTTTTCCAAAAGTGCTTTTATTGAATATAAAAATGTGGATATTCATATGTCTACATATCTCCGGAACGCAGCGCACTACAGGGGTCATTCATGTATCAAATTGTAGCTTTTGATGTACACAATCCAGCCATATCAAAAACTCATAACCTGAATCTGGCCACTTTTCCATTTTTCTAGAGCCGGTTACGTTTGTCCAAAAGTTCCAAACTAGTTTGTGTGTCTTTAAAAACTCACAATGGAAAGAATCTGCACACCTGGAGACATATCTAATCGGAAGAGCTGTGCTCGTAACAGCAGAAGTTGACGTCTGTATATGAATAGTGAAAGGGGATATTCAAGTATGAGTCCAAGCGTTTTTTGATTTCCCATTCTAGGTAAAGTGTGTAGCGCACAGGCCCGCGACTACATCAACGAGAACGAAGAGATGGATGCAATATCAGATGCTCGATCCATTGATATCTTCGGTCATCACACTCACTGGCTGAGAAACGTTGTTCGTCGCAACACACAAGTCGCTCCCGACGGTAGGTTGACCCTCAAGCTCTCTCAGTTTCTCTCGAAGAAATTGGAAGAGGTCCGTCACAACTGCCTCAATTTTTAGGAAGAAAACAAACGAATTAAACAAAATTACAAGACCAATCCCACGAGAAGAGAAAGGATTATCAGAATGCCCAAGTTTTACCTGATGTATGCTTAGTTTGACTCGCAAAGATGAAAGTGCCCCCCAAATGGAATAAAAAGTCATCAAAACTGGTTACTTGTTGATGTCAAATTAACTAGTTGACGTCAGATTGTTGACGTCAACATGTTGACGTCAAATTACAGGTTGACATCAAACTTCATTTGTGCCCTACTTTTGTACATGCACAAAGTGAGTATGAGTCAGCTGGCTTTTTCTTGCTTTCTGCGACTACAGGCGGATTCCTACGAGCCGGTAACGGCAACGGCCCCACCCGCATCGAGGAGGTGCTGGACTGGGACAAGGTGGTCCGGCGCTACCTGGTCATTAAGGGGCTTGAGGAGGACCCAAAACTCAAAGAGGAGCCAGGGCTGGACGACGAGAGCAGGACTGGCAATGCCAACAACACCGCCGTCAATAAGGCCGACGGGACAAAGAACGCCAACCACGTCGTGTGAGTCTGCCGGCACCAAGCTTAGCAGGAACAAGCCGTGCGCCGTAATGAAATTCAGTCACGCCTGTTGTGCTAATAAAATTCACTCATGTGAAGGACAAATGTTGTTTGTGTCGGAATCTGTAATAGTACAAGTTACAGTAGTACTTTGGGAGAATCTTTAAAATGTTTCACTCTGAAGTGCCAGTTTCGGTTGAGAAGATTCACTGCTCATCTCGGGGACAGCTTCCAAGGTTCTAAGAGGAAGGCATGGGCCCACATATCAACATGCTAGCATTTCCAAAATGCTTGGGCACTGCCGTTTTCCCACCTTCAAATCACAGTGATTCGCAAGGACGACTTGTAAAGTGGCAATGGTTTAGGCATGCTAGTTATTCTCATTGGTGATAAAGCAAGAACGATAACACCATGCATCATCTGCCAGGCTCTGAAATAGAGACTAGCACCGTAAGAAAGGGAAAAAACCACTGAAGAGGAGAACACAAGAAAAAGCTGTCAAGATCACTCTTTTCCTCTGCCAATTGTGGGGTCATGTTGTACCTTTACATTTTTTTCTCCCAAAATTGTGATTATTGCAAAGGCAGCCTCAAAAAAAAAGACAACTGGAACTCACTTATTTACGGTATCACCTTACAGCCACAAACGTTTCTCTAAAGTTCCTCCTTTCCTGTTGCTGGTTTCTTGGAGACAGTGTAGCGGCCGTCCTGGTTGCAGAGGTGGATTGTAATTTTGTCCAGTTTGTTCTACTCTCCGACATTGCTTTCTGTTAATAAAAGAAAATCTGTCATTTGAAAAACTCAACATTTCAGATCCTGTGGTAGAGAATTGATAGATTTTACACTCCCGAGCTTTCACGGCTGGCTTCTACTTTGAGGAAGTACTTGTCAAGAAAGTATTTACTCTTTTGAGTACTCAGTGTCATATAGTCATACTGTTTAAATTGCATCTCAAAGGTGCTAAGTTCACTTGGGTACTAAATACCACTTACACCAAGGACTTGGGCATTGCCAGCGATTATATAAGTTATAATGAAAATTTTGCGGGATCTAATTCAATTCAGTTTCGGAAGAGAAATCACCTTGAATAAATTGCTGTTAATGTAAACCTTGAGAAATGTATTTGTGTGCTATTCAAAAAGTTATTTCAATTTGGACTGTCATTCCATCCAGATTTTCTGATTCAGCGACAGTACTTCTTGCCAAGAGACGCAGTAATCAATTTAACAGCAGAGCAGCATTATTGTACATTTTCTGATGTAAGAATACAGTTGCCAATTTCACGGCACTGCTTAGCGCAAGTAAAAAATTAGCGCTTACCCCAGCAGAAATTCTGTGCTGACGCCGAACGGGTTAGCGAGGAATTTTGGTTTGTACGCATGCGTACATCCTGTAACTAAGGATTCTGTGCTTTAAGGGTTAGCGCGGAATTCTGCGGTAAGCAGCGCCATGAAATTGGGCCCAGGAGACAGGAAACATTTATACTAATCGTGAATTTCACTTAACGCTGCAATTTTTTAACCGTGTTCACCAAGTTGTTTGTAGCTGACAGCATTATGTTTTCCCCCTTTTGAAGCAAATTCCATACTTTCAATATTTGCAAAAATACATCTCCTTTGTGTTTCAGCAAAGTATAGCAATACAGATGGAATAGTACAGTACATTGTATTAGAATTTAAATTAATACAGTTGTGACAATGATGTACCAAAAAATCCTTCAAGTCTGGTGTAAATCTTATAATGCTTACTTTGAGCTGTCTACTTCGGACGTTATCCAAGCACGTACCATCTTCATTTTTGTCCATTGTGATGTCTGTAACCTCATGTCCTTTTTATAAAAGAAAAAGAAATCACGAAATGGTAATTACTTTCAAAAAGTTGCTCTTAGCATTTATTTAGATTGGACATTGACATTTTTGCAGGACTGTTTGCAGGAGAAAAGGCAAAGCAAAAACAAACAAACAAACAAACAAACAGTATGTTCAATTTTCCCATCACGGCAAAATGTAGGTCTGTTGGTTGGTCAGTGTTTTGCTGTACACAGAAATCTCTGTAATACACAGTGAAAGTTGGGAGTTTAGTTTTGGGAAGACTACGACTCTAAAGTAAATCTGCCTTTTTATATCTGTAAATTAAGTATATTTTAAACCAATATTTACTTGCATGTATATGATAATGTACAGTAGAGAGATTACCAAAAGCAACTATTTTTATGTATTAGTACTTCTGTAAAGATACGTCGATATTTATTACCAGCAAAGGTTCTTTGGTCAAATGCGTTACCTGTTCATAAATATCAACTGCACATATTCAGAAGTCGTAACAGTATTAGATGTTTTAAAGTCAGCATTGATGTTTACTGTGTACTGAATTCGTTAAATAATGTCACTTTGCAAAAATCGAAACCCCGATTATAACATCAGGTTATTTGATAAGTAATTGTTGACGCTCAGTCTCCACTCCAGGTATGCGTTTGTGTACAGCATCGGAAGACGCTGGAAAACGAAGATTGAAGTGTAGAAATGGATAAGGACCCAGAGAAAAATGAAGTATTTTTTCCAATTTTCTACCTTCAAAAATGTGGTTTTATCTACTGAAGCTAAAATGACACTGTCCAGGAAATCTTTAACTGAACAATTCAAATGAAATGTTTATATGAATTTCTGAAACTCTCGTTTCTATACAAGTGCCACTCGGTCAAATGCTGACTTTCGTCATGTTTGCTTTGTTGGCTTTTCAGACCCAGTACTTTTCAAAGATTTGACGGTACAAGAACTAGTGTCAGTAGGATTTTTGCACAAAAGCCGAAGTTCTAAACAACGGTTGACGGAAGGTAACAAAGGAAAAGAGGAACAATGGAAAAGTGCAAGCATGAAAAGATGTTTTATCTTCAGTGAGCCTAGTTTTTTTTTCTGCGAATGACATGATGTTGTATCAGTGATTTCTATTTTCAGCTTGTAATTTGATATAATTTGTACACAGATAAAAACACCTAATACGTAATTTTGTATTAACAAATGTATCTTAAATTTGCATAGTGTAATAAATGCTGTAGACAGAACTGAATTGAGTAGACAATTGACAAATTTGAGTTGCTGAATACGCAATTTTAAATTTCGTTTCATATTTGAATGGTCCAGTTGTACAAAAAGCAAAGGCTTAGCTTTGCTTTTTACTGAAATTTGTTTGATTTTTCAAAACTTGAGAATGCTGTAAATAAACAAACACTAGCACTGTATTCAAAATTTCTTCTGAAATCTCTATGAGATGGATTTTTTTGCAGCAGAGCAAAAAGGTAAAGTTTCCATTTCAGTAAAATTTTACTCCTATGATTTTTCCAATGAAATCAAATTTAAAAACAGGAAGGAGGTAGCCTTCTATCAGTTTCGGAAATTTTTTTATTCTAAACTATCTTGCATTTGGATGAAATGTCGTAATGCTCTTATTTTTCAGCAAAATTCAAATCTGGAAGGGGTAAGTCTTGCATTTTGATTACTTTAAGGAATTTGCTCAATTTTCTTAAAGATTCAAAGCAGCAAAGGGTTAGCCTTGAATTTTTAATAATTTGGGAAATTTTCTCATTTTTCACCTAAATTCAAATCTGTAAGGGGTTAGTCTTGCATTTTGATTAATTTGGGGATTTTTCTCATTTTTCACCTAAATTCAAATC